GATCGCAACCCTCAGTGTCGCGCCCGTACCGGGACCGGCAACGGGATCGCAACCCTCGGCGCTGCCCCCACACCTCGCTCAGCCAGTGAGCAGGAACCGGTCTGTATGTGGGATCCGAACTCTCGGCGGGAGCGCCACCGCACTCCCAAGCGGCGCACTGTAGCAGTGCGCCACCGGGCCGGCCCCTGGTTTTGTTTTTTAACATGTTGTCAGCATCTAAAATTAAGGAGATTTCACCTTTAGGAAAAAAGGAAAGACCTACAACTTCCTCTTGAGAAATTATAACCCTCTGATAGTGTTGGGCCAGAAGAATTGGCTGGAGCTGAGTAGCAATTGCTCCCTATAGATAGTAAAAGAGTAGTTTATGAGAAGAGGATCAGATAGATCCTCTTGGACTCTGAAAGCCCTCTCAATTTTTTTTCCTTTCTCCTTTTGCCTGCTCTTCTTTTCCTTTAGCCCCTTTCTGAATTTTTTCTTCTACCAATACATAGAAATAAAAATATTTCTTTTTGGTTTTTTTGGGGGGGCAGGGGATAAAAACAGATTAATCAGCATCACTCTCTGTATATATTTGTACATGTATTGTATGTTTCTATTTAGGGATAATCAATAAAAAGCAATGGATTTAAGGAATCTAGATAGCAATGATAGAACAAAAACCACAGTAGGATACGAGAGTAAGGGTGGAAGAAAGTGCAAACAGGCCTTAAAAAAGGAATAAAAGGAATTTTATCACCAAAGTTGATTCATGTATGTCTCTGTTTTCAGTGTATCAGTGTGATAATTCCTTTCTCCAAGTTGATTGTGTTTAAATAGGAGAAAAATTAGTTAATACTTATGGAATTTTTAATGTTAATTTATTAAATATTCCGTAATTATTAAATGAATATAGTCGGCCCTCTGTATCCATGGGTTCTGCATCCCTGGATTCAACCGAGAATCAAAATATTCGGGAATTATTAAATGAATATAGTCGGCCCTCTGTATCCATGGGTTCTGCATCCCTGGATTCAACCAACTGAGAATCAAAATATTCGGGGATGGGCCAGCCCGGTGGCGCACTGCTACAGTGCGCCGCTTGGGAAGCACGGCGGCGCTCCCGCCGAGGGTTCGGATCCCGCATACAGACCGGCTGCTCACTGGCTGAGCGAGGAGCGGGGGCAACACCGAGGGTTGCGATCCCGTTGCCGGTCCCGGTCCGGTACAGGCGCGACACTGAGGGTTGCGATCCGTTGCCGGTCACGAAAAAAGACAAGACAAAATATTCGGGGATAAAAAAATTTCACAATGTTCCAAAAAAGCAGAAGTTGAATTTACCATTTTCCAAGTACTGTGTTGAATCCATGTGAATGAAGTGATATATAGGCATTAAGCATTAGGTATTATATATAATTTAGAGACAATTTAAAGTATATGGGAATGTGTGCATAGATTATATACAAATACTGTGCCATTTTATATAAGGGACTTGAGCATCTGCAGATTTTTGTATCCAAGGGAGGGTGGTCCTAGAACCAATCGCCCACAGACACTGAGGGATGACTATACCTACTGTGTGCCAGGCAGTGGGATTACAGGAGTGAACAGAGTAGTCAGAATTTTCAGCCTTCATGGAGCTTACATTTTAGTTAGGGAAAAATAATAAAGACATAAATAAAATCTTTAGTATGTTAGATAGAGATAAGTGCTGAGGAAAAAAACAGAGGAGGAAAGAGATCAGGTATACCAGAAGTGGAGAGTTACCATATTAGATAGTATGGCCAGGAAAAGTCTAATTGAGAAATTGGTATTTGAGTCAAGACCAGAGGAGGTGAAGGAGTGAGTCATATGGCTATCTGGAGGGAAGAGTGTTCTAGGGAACAATGAGTGCAGAGGTCCTGAGGCAGGAATATATTTGGCATGTTTGAGGAATAAAAAGGAAATAGGTGTGATTGGAACAGGCAGAGTGGTAAGAAATTCAGGCAGAGTGGTAAGAAATTCGGGCAGAGAAGTTGTGGAAGATCCAGGTGATATAATGTCATTTTATAGGCCATTGTAAGACAATTTTTACTGAATAAGCAGGGAAGCCACTGAAGGTTTGGAATGGAGGAGAGAGGCTGTTTTTTGAAAATAGCCTGAAGAGAGGGGGTATATTAGTTAGGGTACAGATTAGGTGTAGTTGTTGTAACAAAGTTAGAAAACATAAAAGTCTGGGCAGTCTAGGCAGGTAAAACATTCAGAAATCCAGAATCCTTCCATTTTTTGCTTTACTGTCCTTCAGGGCATTGTCCTAATCTATGTGATCAAAACTAGGTCATTGTCAAGAAGGTATATCAGCCTGTGAAAAAGGGAGGCAGGTGAAGTCCAGGGCAAAGAATTTCCTTTTAAACAAACGAGATAAATATCACATGTATCATTGCAGTTTACATTCCATGGGTAGGATCACTTAGCCACATTCCATGGGTGGGATCACTTGGCATTATGGGAGGGTGGGAAGTGTAGTCTCAGGCTGAGTGACCATTTGGCTAGGAAGAGGAAGATGAAAATGACGAATAGTTTACCACAGTCTGCCACTCTAGCCACCTAAATATCTGTGTGCATCTTTCATCCTGCCTGTTGAAAACACTCCTGTCGCCCTTACTGAAGGGAGACAACCCAAACTGACATCCATTTGTTGCATTAATCCAAGCTCATTGAGATGTACAGTACTTGCTGTCAGTTCCACAAGTCCAGTGACCTACAAAAGAATAACAGCTATCTGCTCCTCTGCCATCCGTCCCACACATACCCAACATATTGTCGTGGATCAGTAACGGGAAAACAGTAATAAATCTCCCATTTGGGAAAATGAACAATGAGAAACGCTCTCTGGTTGAAAACAATACTGGGCAGGAATGATGAAGATCCATGCCAAAGCAGTGGAGTAATATCCTTAGTTCTGCTTTGTGGTAAGAATGTGCCTGTATCATTGGTTTTGAATGAAAACAAATCTCTAAAACTTGTTTTAAGCCTATGGGAGGATATAAATTGGGGATATTAAGTAACTAATGAAGCTTAGGATGAACTTTTTTATGTCTCCTATTTTGTTTGAGATGTTATTGTATCTTTCTCATAGGGGGAACTATATTTTTAACAACAAAAATCAGTAACTGGAAGTACAAGATTGTTTTTTTTAATAATGCTAAAGTGAAGTTTTGATCAGCAGAGGTAAGTATATGACATTTCTTTTATATGTACTTCATAATAGGTTAAAATATTTGCCAAATTTCTATAAAGAACTATTTTAAGAATTGTGAAGGATCTGAGATTTTATCCTACTTGCAAGCTAACAAGTTAGCTTGCCACAGTGCCATGAATGTTGGCAGAAGACATGAGACTTGTGGATCAAAGACAAGGATGGTTTATGTTGACAGCAATAGTAAAGCTAGAGTAACACCTGACACCTGTACAGGATAGGAACCCTGAGCTAAGGGAACCTGACTCTTTTATAGTGGACAGTAAGCCTGCCTGACTTTTGCCTTGGAGGGAGACTTTATCTTTATTATACAAAACATAAAACAAATATGTCCTTTATTCTAGAATGGGATAGTATATCTGACTTCTAAGACTGTTCACTATGTATAACATTCTTGAAAAGATAGTCTGGAACAAAGGCTATATCAGTATCTGTACTTGCAAGACATGCAGAAACATGAAAGATTTGTGGAGAATTGTCTTTCAATACTTTCTTACTCTAAATTGATTTTTAAAATATATACTATGGATAGAAATGATTGTTATAGTGTTTTTTTTAAATAGTGAAAAGATGAAAATCACCAAAATACCCAACAATAGGTGATTGTTTAAATTATAACATTTTTGCTGTATAATAGTTAACAATTAAAAATAATATTGTGAAACTATTTATCGACATAGATAATAGTGTTTTTTTTAAATAGTGAAAAGATGAAAATCACCAAAATACCCAACAATAGGTGATTATTTAAATTATAACATTTTTGCTGTATAATAGTTAACAATTAAAAATAATATTGTGAAACTATTTATCGACATAGATGTTCTTCAAAAAATTAAGTGAAATAAGCAGGTTATAAAATGTACCATGTGAGTGCCAGCCCGTGGCTCACTTGGGAGAGTGTGGTGCTGATAACACCAAATCAAGGGTTAGGATCCCCTTACCGGTCATCTTTAAAAAAAAAAATGTATGTGTGGTTTGATCCCACTTTTATAAAAATTATATGAATGCACACACATATGAAGAATGTATACCAAAGTATATGTATTTCAGTGGATAGAATTGTGAATGTTTTCTTTTTTTTTTGCTTGTCTGTTTTCTTTCTTTTTGTTTTTTTATTAAAATCTCTGAAAATAAATAGGCTTTTGTAGTAATGAAGGGAAAAAAACCTTTTTTTAAAAATTTAAAAGTGAATAGTTTTAAGAACTCTTTCACAGAGAAAAACCTTTCAGGGATTTAAATGGGGATTAAAGAATGTTAATTCCGGGCCGGCCCGGTGGCGCACTGCTACAGTGCGCTGCTTGGGAGCGCGGCGGCGC